CACAGTGATAATGTAATACCAGCCGGTTTATGGAAAAACCCTCTGATGCACTCAGACATATCAGGGCTTGTGCTCACAGGGTTTGTAGAGCCTCTATACATCAGACAGATACAGTCAGGTGGTCTAGCTGGAGTGATTATTTACCAAGAAGCTTCTAGAGTCCATTTATCTTCCAGTGTGTTTGTCGTCTTGTTTGTTTCAGCTACTCTAGTCCCAAATAAAGACAGTTACGTGAAATATATATGATAATTGATCTTATGCTAGGTTTTTATTTATTCTACATTACAGTTAAACTTTGGATAATAAATCCATAATACGACTGCACCGTTCCACCTATGGTTGTCACAATATCAGACTTTCACTTCATGATTATGGTGGCCAAAAAAAATCAGGTTTACAATATTACTGTGATAACTATAGAAAATGTGTAATTAACTTTTATTGTGTCTTCTTTTTCTATTTTGCGCGGCAGTAGAAGCACCGTGCTAGTAGCTAGGTAGCTAGGTGGTAGCCAGCATTAAGGTGCATTACTGCCACCTGCTGTGTTGGAGTATAGTACAGTATATGGCGACATTTCTCAACCCACTGCAAGGAGGCAAAGATGTGCAGCAGTGTGGGGTATAACGTGCTCTAGTTCGATCAGAAAATATTCTCCAAAATCTCCCTGGTGTACGATTCCTGGAAGACTTGTTTTGATATTTTTTTATCATTCATGCACATGAATGTATTTTTTATCACACACTAGTAATATGTTCCCACAAATTAATCATTTTTTAACTCAATTTAGCTCCCAAATTCCGTATGTGCACATTGTGAAGGTTTCTGGTTTAGAGTACAGGCACCTTTGTTATTCCAAATCTTTGAAGAACCTCAGTGAATAGTAATTTCTGTTTCCCTCCCATTTTCTCATCAACTTCTGTAACCAGATTTACTGCCTTCTTGCAGCAGGGAGGACTTTACGTTTGGGTGCAAGTTAAGCACAGATTTATCTGCTTCTTTTGAAAGAATCTGGTTGTTTTTTCTTGTGTAGACCCTGAAATGATGAACCTCACAGAACGCAGCACGTCTGAAAAATTAAAGTCTTATCTCTCAGAGGAGAAACTGATGCATGGTGAAGAGGAACAGTAATCCAATAAACTGTACAGACAGTTCAGTATGCTTGGAAAACACCTGGACAGATGTTCGTTTTGCTCATTTTTGTGATTTCAAAGTTCGTATTTGTCAAAAGAGAAACGTTGATCAGCTTGTGTCAAAACAAAACCACTGCACACGATTCATTACCCCATCAGGTTTGTAGGTCCATGCATCAAATTCAGTAAGCGTTTGTAAGCCTGCTGGTGTCAGACTTTACCGACTGGTGCTTTTAGATTTTACAACGGCTTCCATACTCCCTATAGTTGAATCATCAGTTATCTATCACCTTAATTCAATCTCTAACTCAGTATGCAGCTATTTCTCTTTAGCTACAGTGAAACAAACTCATTCCATCTGCAGCTCAACTGGAAGCAAACCTGGTTTATTGAATATGTGAAAGTTTTTTTATTACTTCATCCTGCTTTCCTCACGCAGTCCTGTGAGTAATCTATTGTTTGTTCTAATTAGATGCCTTACATGTAAGTCACGTAGGGAACAATCGCCTCCAGCTACCTTTAATGATTTTTTCCCCTCTTAACCGTGCATCTTCAACCCTATGATTGTACTCTATGGCTTAACCACAGTTGCATGCTTGTGTGTGTGTGTGTGTGTGTGTGTGTGTTGTGTTTTAGTGCGTGTGTGAGTGACTCTCAGATGATATTCCTCCCCAGTGGCCTCCAGCAGTCCTCAGACTGTGACAGGGAGAGTAATTGGCCATCAAAATAATCCAGACCCCTTCCTTCATTCCCAGCTAGCCGCCGGCGAGTGGAATTAGACACTGAGTTTAGCCAGGGACATTAAACACAAACTCTGTGTCCGTGTGTGTGTGTTTGACCTTAAGTCAAGAATTGGGATGCAGCCTCTTTACTTGTTAAAAAATACATTTTGCAATCCAGCACAGCATTACCTACCATTTTCCAACGATGAAGAGTGGATTAAATATAATGAGATTAAAGGAATTAGATTGCAAACAATTGCTGAAATTTGTAGGCAGCGATCTAATTATTTCACAGAGAAAGAGCAGATAATGATCTACAGATTTTAATAGATTTCTATACATGAAAAGTGCAGAGCTGCACTTTGGGACTTGTCTGCTTGCAAAGGAGCAATTATGGTAAAGTCTGTAAAAGCCTAATGCCTCTTTTATGATGAACTGAAAAGTATAAAATTATAAAGAAAAGGATTTAGTGTTACTTTTATCCACAGAGGGGTCAGTGGATTGATTGTAGTTGCTGTTCTTGCTTCCACTTGGCCTCTTCAATGTTCAGAAAAGTGCTGAGCGTTTGCTCGCTTTGTTTCTGTTTCCCACTGCTTCCAGTCTTTATGCTAAGCTAGGCTAATCACCTCCAGCTCCGTAATGCTCAGACTGAGAGTCGTATGCACCTTCTCATCTAACTCTGAGAATGAGTCCAAAATAACACCCGCCAAATTCTGGCTTTGGTGGCAAAAAAAACGGAGGTCAATAATTAAATAAAGGAATCACATTGTAGGTTTAGGTCACTGTACTTTTTACATGTGCTGGCTGAGGCTAATGTGACTCTCACTGTCCACCGTACCTATCATGAGCTTACTAGTTTCTGGCCCTTTCTACACAATGTCTGTCCATGTTTTGGCCAGTAGAAACATCTGCATTACGTTATTAGAGATGTGGCGACACATGAAGATGAACTAGTCCCGGCAGTTGGTGTTTGTTTGCAAGTGGTGGTGTCGAACAGGAGCCCTGAGATCCTGGCTAAATATGAAGCTGAAAAGGTTCAGAAAGGCTCAGAAAACGTTTGTTTTGGGCCTCAGTGTAAAAGGGGGAAAAAAACACATGAGTGTAAGAAGAGTGTAGTGGTTACTTCCTGTGGTTCCTCTTAAAGCCAATATCATGTCCACTGCCTGAACAAGATGAGAGCCCGACTGTCTGTTTGGCTGTCCTCCACACGCCTCACCGCAACTCCACTCCCGCCACCACGTAATCGCATTTGTGTTTGTACAACCTGGTAATACAGCAAATCGATGGAGCGGCCGCAAAAGGCCCGAATGTTATTTACTTTCACTTTGACTCGCTCATCTGAAAACAACCTTGAACGCAGCGTCTTATCTCTGAGAGGAGAGTGAGGGGGAACTATTTTTGTCATTATGAATTCCTTTGAAATGACACACTTGAGTTTATTGATGCTGTTTGAGTTTGACCGACAGTGCTTTTTAAGTCTCAAAGGGGTGTGACATTGATTTTCTCATTTCTAGTTTTCTTAAGTCGTAATGAGATGTTTACACGCTCCTTCTCAGAGACAAACCTACTGCTGCTGTCAGGCAGTCAGACACTGTCGGATTATTTAAGTCCGGAGCAGAGACTCATTTATTCAGCACAGCCTCACAGCTTGTGTTAGAAGCCACCTTACCAGACGGTTTCTTTCTTTTATTTACTTCCTGCAGTCTGTCATCAACTCACTTCAGCTTTAGTCTCCTCTGCTGCTCTAATATCCGGTCACACACAGAGACTGAAACACACAATCCTGAACCTCAGTTCAGTTTTGTTCTTTATTGCCCTACAAGAGGAAATTCTCATACTCACAGCATGAAGTACAGTAAAAGGTAAAACTGATTGAAAATGCAACAAATTAGAAACTAGTGCAGAGAGGTAGTTCATGGTATATTTGAATGTTTGGATCTGTATCTCTGCCCAGAGGGGAGGATTTCAAATAGCCTGGTTACACATTTCCATTTTTTTCCAGCAGTTCAAATATGTCTGGTATAGTACTCATTGACAGCTCTTTTTCAAGCCAATCCAAGTTTTGCACTCTTGCTTAAGAAGGGGATGTTAATGTCTTGTGCCAGAGCCAGAAAAAGGACCATGAAGAGGCAACAAGAATGGATGAGATTGATGAAGCCATTCAGGTTCTTGTGAGTCCACTAACAGCAGACCTCCCACAGGTGGACGGTTATTGGATTATCCTGTTTAAATCAATCTAAAATTAAAACTATAACAGCTAGAACATCGTTTCTTGGAGGATCATTTTGAGGTACTACATCACAATACCAATGCAGGCACTGAGGGACAATTCCTGTCGCAGAGTTCAAAGGGTTAAACCTGCATTAATCTGTAGTTGTACATTAACAATGGATCAAGTAATTATGTGTGGTGCAAACAGGGTTCCCTTCCGCTCAATGAGGTATTTCAGCATCTCTCCGCTCATTGTAAAGCCCATTTTCAGCCACACGCACACCCAGCACCAAACAACAGCTGGACAAGGTGAGATATATTGCCTCTGCAGAGTTGGTGGATACCAAACCGGAGCTAAAAGAAGAACCTTACAATCATCATGAGATGATGATGTCGCTCTGTGTAACTGGATGTCTAATAGGAAACTGTTTGCTAACATGTTCAGCATTGTGTTTGCAGCTTGTTCCGCTCCCCCCAAAGTGTAAAAAAGAAAATCAGTGGAGCTTGAAATTGTCATATTTCTTCGACCGACATGCTAAACAAGACAAAACAGCCAACACAGACACAACGTCAGACTGATTAATGAAGTGAAAAGAAAATGTCAGTTTAGCCTCACTATCAGACTATCAGATGTCAGATCTCTTAAACAGAAGGGATGGTTCTGATTCGCTAGCATTGGTTTTGCTTTATGTGTTGGCGGTTAAAAAGGTTTGTCAAGTTGGGGAATGATTCTGTGACGGATCTGAAAAGGAAACATTTCCCCTTCTGTCGATGTGAACAATCTTTAAAATACAGTCTTCCTTACTCCAGCTTTGTTTATTGGAGTTCCTAATGATCTTTAATGGTTTCACGGCTTGAGGTCTTTTAGGTTGTTAAAAACTCTTTCTGATAAAATCTAACTTTTCCACCTCTCTCCCTCTCTTTTTCCTCTCTGCAGGTCCTCCTGTAAACGTAACCTGCAACATTTTTATCAACAGTTTTGGGTCCATTGCTGAAACAACAATGGTAAGCTCAATTATTCTTAATATCACTTTGTAATACAGCTTGACTCATAGTTTCTGATATTATTTATTTGTCACTTGTGTGTGTGTGTGTGGATGTGGATGGTTGGGCGGCTAATGGAAAATGTCACATCTCGTCGCAGCTCCATTTCGACTTGGGTAATATTGCCCTGAAAAATGCGATTAATTGAAAGACGATGGCGCTGGTATGCAGCGCATCCAAAGTTTCATTTTTATTTCCTTTCAAAAATTAAAAGCCTTCTGCACTCTGAGTGTTTAGAAATGTCTTCGCCTCATTGAGCCTGTCTCCCATTTCAAACACTTCATTTGAGAGAGCGCATCGCTGCCGCGGCCATTTGCATAACAACGCGGTGGCGGTGCTGCTGTCGTGCTGGTTTGCAAGCGATGGGGGGGGGGGGAATTTACTCTTATTCATTACACAGAAAATCCATTAGTGTTAATATAAGTGAACCATCAACCTTCTCAGAGCAACAAGGCAGATATGGTAACACTGAACCGTAGTGTTTGTGTGTGTGTGTGTGTGTGTGTCTGTGTGTGTGAGAGAGACAGCAGAGGTGATCTCAGCACCCACGGCATCCGTGAATGTTGCTAAAAATGAAGCACGCTCACCACTTTAACCTCCATAAAACAATGAATCATGTTTTCATCCACCGAATGCTTTCAGACTGTCAGCTGTGTAAACCTTCAGCAAGACCGTAGCTGCTACCAAGGGCACGGAGGCCATGTCCACGCCTGTGTTTCTGGGAATGAGTCTGCTTTTAACAACCTTGTGTACAAATACACAAAAATACAACATGGTGGATTTTTTAAGGGCCCCAGGCAGGGGTTAATGTAGCATTTGGCAGGTGGGGGAACCATCTGTTTTCCCCCGTTTCACAAAATATGAGAATGTGCTGCTTTTATTTGTTTTATATAACCCTAAATACAATGTTTTAGGGGTTTTACACTGTTGGTTGGACCAAACAGGTCATTTAACGTCATCAGATTCAGAATCGTATTCTTCTTTTATCAAATTCTAAATGAACAGAAACCTATTCACATCCACTCGAAACAAGAAAATCAGAGATGGAACACAAATATAGCAAAGTCTCATGTAAAATGACCAGTTCCTCTCTAAATCTGGAAGATAATGGCATGTTTATTGGACCCCATGCTAAAGAGCTGATTAGGAAAATTGGTTTTCAGGGCCTCTAAAGGTTAAGATTAAAGGATGGGGCTGGTGATGTTTTATATTCATCTTAGTACCAAACAGTCCAGTAAAAAAAAGACCAAAACCAACAATGATTTGATCCTAACACATATTGTCTGTCTGGAAGAACAGAGGGAAGAAGAGAGGTGAAAAAGAATCAAAGGGAGGGAAGAAAGAAAAAACACAGAGTGAAAGCACAAAAAGAAGGGGCAGTAATAAAGGCACTTCTATAGAGGAAGAGGAGGATATCCCGAGCTGAACTTCCACAGTGCACACTGACACACACTCACACACACATCGCTGCACTGAAACTGCTGGCCACTGCAGATCCCCGTCATGCAGAACAAATTCCAGATTTTCCCTCCTGCAGAAGCCGAATCGATCCTTGTCTAAACCCTGGAGGGAGGGAGAGATGGAGGGAGCAGGATGGACAGATGGGGGATGACTGAGGGCTAGGGGGAAAATCTTTTTATAAAGCAGAGAACGGGGCAGAAAATGATAATATTAAACAAAAATGAAAGAAGGAAGTGGACAAGAAACAAAAGGAGGCAAAACATTTATCAGAGCTGTTCCACATGGAGGAATAAGGAATAAGTATATATCAAAGCTTAGAGGTGCAATATACCGTGAGGTTGACATTGGTCTAGTCTTAATATTATAACTACTATATATAATATACATGGCTGTCGATCCTCCTCTGTTTATCTTCCTGAGGTTTCTCCAATTTTTTCCCCCAGATTTCCAGATTTTTTAAGCTGAACTGATGATTTTGAACAATATACAAAATAAATACCCCTCTGATAAAAACATGATTTGTGTCAGCGTAAATAAGATTGATTGTCTGAGCTCAGATGTGACGCGTCAGGCAAGTGCCGAACGCAGGGCAACCTCTGGATGCTGGGGCTGAGTTCGCCCACTGAAGACCTCAGTCAGTGTTGTTGCTATAATCTCTCAAAGGGTGGATTAGAAGCAAAAACAAAGTACTGAAATAATGGGATTTATCAGCTTTTATCAAACCAGAAAATCCATTTTAAAGCTTCAGGGGCAGGACAGAGCGAGCGAGAGGCCGAGGATGGTTTCTCAATGCAGTGTTGGTGTTGGTTGTAGTGTGTAGCTCGCGCTTTAAACTTGGACTACAGTATCCTTCCATCTTCAACACACACACACACACACACACACACACACACACACACAGTGCTGCTGGGGCTGGAGCACAGTGATAGATGGAGTCGGTAGAATGGCGCAGTGCGTGTTGAAGTCCCGGTGGTACAAGGCTTTATTCCTGTTTCAGCGCTCTCCCCACTCGCTTGCTTGCTCACTCTTTCTCTCTCTCTCTCTCTCTCTCTCTCTCTCTCTCTCTCTCTCTCTCTCCCTCTCCCCCCTCCCTCACACACACACACAACCCCTTCTTTTACTCTTCAGTCCACTCTTTCATTCGTTTTCTCCCTCCCTCCATTTCCTGTCCACTGAGAACACACATACTCACTCAAGCCTCGCTCACTTCATGTCTCTCTCTCTCTCTCTCTGTAAAACACACACACACACACACACACACACACACACTTAAACCTCAAATACTTGATCACCTAAATGTATTTCACTGTCTAACACACACTCACACACACTAACATTTCACAATGTTGTGATAAAAACAATACATCCATATCCACTGAACCGTTATTTATTTATATACATATTTTTTATTACTGATAAGCTGAAGGCACTAATTATAATTTCTTATAAATATTTGTTCTATAAATATTCAAAAAAAGGGAGAGATTTAGAAAACCTGGACTCAATATGAAATTCTGATTGTCTGTTTAATAAGAAAAAAAAATGTTGGCTTCCAACTTAACAATTAATTTAATGATTATTTGTTTTATTTCCTCCAGAATGCTATAATAAGTAATATAAATGTCCTTCCTTTTTATTATTCTTTATCTTATCTGTATCTTAGATTATCAGATATATATAATGACAAAGAGTCGGTAGGATATACAATGTGCTTTACTCTATGTGACATTACTATGCTATGCCTCTGTCACTACAGAGCTCTTTATCCTTCACACACGGAAACCTCAATCACTTTATTTCCCCCCCCCCACTCTCTCTCTCTCTCACACACACACAGAAACACACACACACACACACACACACACACGCACACACCATTATGTTGCCACTCATTCTCTCTCTTGCCTTCCATATGAAGCTCTATGAACAGGTTTTACACTTTAGTATTGTCAGGCAGCTTTATCCCAGGCTTCTCTCCTCTCCGTCCACTGTATAGTTCTATCACGGTTGCACTGGTCCGAAGAACAACAGTGAAGTTGCTTTCAGATACTATTCCCCAGAAACAGTTCATTTCTCCTCCCTGGAATGAACTGTCTGTGTCAGCCGTTTTTACCGTCTTTGAGAAGTAAAGGTAGAAGTACTGTTAATAATAAACATTTGGGATTGATGGTTTAAAATGACTGAACCCAAGGTGGTTTGGACCAATCAGTGTCCTTTGAGGGACTTTTTCGCCTCTTAGATTTTCTTTTCTTCCCCAGACATCCACAAAAAGGATCATTTTCTAGTTTTCATTCATTTATCACTTCTTGCATGTTCTTGGATAAAACGGTGTTGGCACAAAAGCGTAATTTCCTCAAATTGAAGGTTGCATCTGTAATGTGCAGCTCCAGTGTGTGGAGTGTGGTTTGAAGAAACAGCTGTTTTTTAACATAAAACTCTTTCACTAAGCCGGTTGAATTGCATTAGTGCTTGTTGAACGGTCAAACATGTAAATTACCAAAATCACCTCAACTTCCCGGGAGAAGTTTGATGTTTGCTGTAAATTGATTTGACATCCCACAGTGCTGCTGCTGGTGCTGGTGTTGTGGCTTATTTTGAGGCCACACAGTGAAAACAGGATCGTTTCCTCTCAGTGCAATGTTGTCTGAGCACAGCAGATGTGCTGCCATAATGTGTGAGCCTCCGTAACCTCCTACCTCCTCTTCCTACCTGAGCAGCATCCAGGGAGCCGGCAGGATGTTATGACAGGCGTGGAATTAGAATATGGCTGCTGCTGTTTCTGTAGTTTGTTTTTGTTGTTTTTGGAGGACGGAGAAGAAGAAGAGGAGGAGGAAGATTGCAGTCCCTCATGCGTGGTTTACTGCCTGAGTTTAATACATGCTGAAATGAGGTTGGTATTGTGTAAGTACAGCATTTCCTCTGCTAATGGTTTCATAGCTGCGTCACGGTGGTGGATGGTAATTTCAGGGTAGCACTTAACAGTCCAACGGCCTTATGTCGGGATATTAAACCCCTATGAACCTACAGACGTGGTAGGAGTCCCATTTTTTACTCCACATATGCCGACGTCCTGCGGCACTTTTCCTCCATCCTCAGAAGGAGGAAGTGTTCAGCACGGAGCCTCCTCAGTGTCAACAACATTTTTTAATAAATCGTAAATTGGTCATCCATTCAGTCCAATTCTAAATCATTCCCTGAAATCATTAACTCAAATTAATGAAATGAAATTATTTTCCCCTCATTTGAATCTTAGAATGCAGCACAGTCCATACCCCATTTTAATGCATTCAATGTGCATTCATCTGCAGCCACGAGGAGCCTCTGACCGATGAAGCTGAGGTTTTATGGGACAGAAGGCTTCCGCAAGCTGACCAGTTTTTTAATAAAAAAAAGAATTAAAGCTACAATGTGTGATCTGAATGTAGATGAAAGGGGATTTTGACAATATGAATTAAAGGTGCAATGTGTAATCCAAGTGTTAAAAAGGGTCATGTTGTCAT